TAGAAGGCCACCAGATTGGTCTGACAGGACCTGCCTCTAATGAACCTGTGTTGGTTGCCCCTAAGCATAATCTCCCCTGCTGGCCCCTCGCAGACATGCGCCAGGATAATTCTCTCAAAAAGCTTACCCAGGACCAAGGTAGGACTAACGGGCCTGTAGTTTCCTGGGTTCTCCTTCCTCCCTTTTTTGAAAATAGGAACAATATTGCCCCTTTTCCAGTCCTCTGGCACCATGCCAGAGCACCACAAGTGCTTGTAAAGGTGTGCCAGGGGTCCTGCAATGACCTCTGCTAATTCCCTTAGCACGCTGGGGTGGAGATCATCAGGACCAGCTGATTTTAAATACGTCCAGTCCCTCCAGAAATTCCCTGACTAGGTCCTCGCTGACCCTTGTCCTGGATGCGCCTCCCCTGGGGCCTATGGCAGTCCCGGTGTGTGTGGGGGGGTGACTCAGTCTCTGCTCAGAAAAATGGAGGCAAAGAAATTGTTAAATAGGTTAGCTTTGCTGTATGGTGCGACGACCAGATTTCCTAGCACGTCCTGCAGAGGCCCCACGTTACTTGGTACCTTCTTTTTTACCCCCTATGTATTTAAAAAAGGACTTCTTGTTGTCCTTGATCTGGGTAGCTAGTCCGAGTTCCATCTCCACCTTGGTCTCCCTGACTGCCCCCCTACAGCCCCGAGCAACCGAGGTATAGTCCTCCCTGGTGATAGCCCCTCCCTTCCACTGGGTGTACACCTCCTTTTTAGATAGGAGACATTCCCAGATGCTTTTGGTGAGCCATGGGGGCTCTTGCCCCCTTTTGATCCGTGTTGGGATTACCTCCCTTTGGGCTTGGAGGATCGTCTCCTTAAGGAACGACCATTCTTCTTGGACACCCGACTCTCCTCCCCTCCGGGACCTCAGTGCCTCCCCAACTATTCTCCTTAGCTCCTTGAAGTCTGCCCTCCTGAAGTCCAGGGCTGCTGCCTTGCTGCAAGCCTTTGCCACCTTGTGCTGGATGGTGAATTCCAGCAGGCGATGATTGCTGTCGCCCAGGTGGTCGAGCACCCGCAGCCCCCTCACCTGTGGCCAGCACCAGGTCCAACAAGGCATCTCCCCTGGTGGGACTGTTTTATGTGGAGCACTGATCCAGGAAAGAACCCGTGGCAGAAGATTATTTTACCAGCTATAGATAAGACGTCCTAAGGTGCACAACTGTGTAGCAAAGTGTTGGTGCATCATTTCTAAGCAACTTTCAAACATGGGTATCTGAACAGGACAACTGAATCCAAAACAGGGATGTCAAAACTGATGCTATCTCCAGCCCTTGACCACAGCTGGTGAACTATATGGTGGAGTGTTCCTCAGGGACTAAAGAAAATAAATTATTTCACTGCAGGATACTAGCAACAGTAGACTTCCTCTATGACTGCTAATCCAGCCTTAGGGTTGGAGTAACCTTGTCAGTGTTTTAGCCCCAGGTGTGCCCAGGAGGGGAGAGAAATGCCAGTGACAATAATTCAGCTAAAGTTCCTTTATTAAATCTAAAGGCCGGTAGCAGTTTTACAGTCACTTTAAACAAACCTTCTAAACTAACAAAATACCAACTATATATATTAGATAATGATGTTACACTAATGTTACAATTAATGACCACACCCACACAGTAATTACTGTTTGATCAAAATATTTTAAAATGGGCTAGCAAGGGAGATTCCATCTGTCCCATACTGACCGGCTCCAGCAGATCCAACTCACAGTAGCAAAGAACATCTCTTGCTCAGTTTTACCCCTTTAGCTTTCTTATTAGACCATCTTTGCTGAGTTCTACAAACTGATCAGATCTAGCAGGAAACGTCCATACATGCCTTACTGTTCCCTATACACAATCTCCTTCTTTTTCTCTTTGCTTTATTCCTATTGGGTGTCCTCCTAGACCTTCTGGAGCCCCAGTTTGGCATAACCTCCTTGCTATTGTTCACCCACCTTTTCTTTTACATTAGCATATCTATGGCTTACTATATTTCATCCTGCCAACACGATAATTTACATAGTCTGACTCTCTCTGCTTAAAGCTTGGTTTCCTGAAAGATTGTCATGCTTGCACCTGATATAATGAAACAATCCATCAACTATTATATAATTACAGTACATTTCACAATTTGTACAGGCCTTAGCACAGGGTTGTCAATACCTAGTTAGAAGGGGACAAGATTTTCCTGTGCATGTAAAATGGCCATTTACACAGATGAATACTTCTGCAAGTATCTCGATGTGGGCTTTCTTATCTGAAGACTAGAGCTATCTAGTCCCAGGGATTATCTAGGAAGTCTGTTAAAGTCCCTACATTTGACAGCTGAAAATGGGTGTCAATTTTTGTCAGTCCTGGCCCTAATTATATTATGTATTATTATATTTTGTTTTTTTTCTAGTTCATGTGATTAAATGTTCAGATAAGTGGTGACACAACACTTGCCCCTCAGTTTATCATCATTGCATCAAATATGGTAAACCTACTTCAAAAACATTTCCAAGCTAAGGCTCTCAAGGATAAATTGGCTACCATCAATTATTGTTAGACATCTTTGGATAGTCATTTTCCCATATGCAGCCACTTCCTTGTAGAAAGAGGAAGAAAGTGTAGACTCTGGAGGAAGAAGTTCATTGGCTCAGTCTTGTTTTCATTTAAGTCACTTGGTGCAGGATCACTTGGTACAAGATGTGAAATAGTGGAGGAAATATGGATTCCTTTATTTATTGCTTAAGCATAAGATGTGATGGGGAAGTCCCCAAATCTTTCGTCATGATTAAGTAATGTATTGAATGTTATCATTAGAATGGTATCATCAGTGACTCTGGTGTTGCAAATGAAGCTTTTGAGCCTGATGAAGATCCAGAAGAGTCTGAAGATCTCGAAATTCCAACTAGAGAAATAGAGATCCAAGTGGACTGGAATTCAGAGCTCCCAGTCAAAGTGAATGTTCCCAAAGTGCCCATCCACAGTTTAATTTTTGATTTTGGAGCAGTGTCATTCTTGGATGTTGTAGCTGTGAGGTCCATAAGAACGGTAAGGCCCTTCTTTTTTTTATTACTCCATAAAATGAACCTAGCCATTACCCTGTAAATTAGATTGGTTGAAATTAACTTTGAGTTTCCAAAACATTTGTGATTAGTAATGCATCATATTTATTATTTATGTAATAACAGTTTGGGTGTTGGCTTATTTATATGTTAGGAGCAAACAGCAAATCTATATGAAAAGAACACTAAGTTTGCAAAGTTGATTTCTAAAATTAGGAAATGTCTATGCAATCTTAATTTAGTGTCCCCCTACAGATGCATTATGATACAGTTTTTAATGACATTATACTGTTTTTCTATAGGATGGATGGTTCTCACTTAACAAATAGTTATTCAGTATTCTGTTTTGCTCATATCAATCAATATGTGGTTCCCATGTCTTATTTCCTCCGCACTATTGAAGCCATGATGTAAAAACAGAATGACTAATTTTCCCGTGGGCTTCACTGTGATATTTTAGTGTTTGCTAAAAAGTAATTAACAGTACTAGTGTAAGGTGAAAAGTGATGTTATCCCCATTCTATCAAGGGGGAAATGAGGGAGAGAGAAAGGTGAAAACTTCCTTCAGTTTGCAATGCCCTGTTTGAGACCCCTAGGACCTGCTTTTGTAAGAGTGCTTTAGTTATGGTGTACTTTACAGTACATCTTTCAAAGCCTTCAGCTATACATGTGATAACTTAGCACATCTGCAGTTCAGACTCCAGAGAATCAAACTATGTACCCAGAAAATGAAGAACACACAGTTGGTGAACTTGAAAATCTTGTTTAAGTGACTTGCTTAGTATTACATCTATGGCAGAGACAAAGTCCAATTCTTCAGGGCAAACTTCAGTTGCCTACAGTATGAGGTAATTGCTTCTTTTCCTGCAATCCTAACTTCTGCAACACATGAGACAGGGGTGCTACACAGAGTGGTTTCCTTTCCTGTATAACAGGTCCATCCAATGCACTGGTTGAGGCAAGGGCTGGATGGAGATTATGGGCGATCATGAAATTAAATATTGTCTCATACACACAAAGGACAAATAAAGGTTTTACAGGCATGTGTAATGGTGGCATTGTCTAACTTTTGAATGGTTTATTTTGCAATTTTTAATATCTTTTAATGTAGTTTGTGGGAGTAATTTTCTTTGGCTTTTCAGAGAGAAGCTTGTAAAAAAGGAAAATTCCATTGCATAAATACCTATGCAGTTAATCAGCAGGGTAGCAACCTTTAGATCCAACTCGCCAGCTTCTGCTACTTTAATCTAAAGGAGTCACTAAAAGGCAGAAATGTAACAAGCAGGGTCTGCACCTTCGGCAAACCCTGCAGGAGAGCGGTGATGGTGCAGGAGTCTTATCCAAGCCAGGAACTTCCAAAACAGTCCCCAGCCTGTGCTGCTGCCACTTCTCTGCCTGCCCTGGCTCTTGTTCTTAAAGCAGCAGCAACAGGATATCTGTGCATGAGCAGGTGCTGCTGCTGCAAGAGCAACACTATGGGTCTGCTTTTGTTTCCAGGATGCCAATTCTGTGGCACTGGGGGATGATTCTGATGCCTCTTCTAAGTTGGTGCCCAGGTCTGTTGCCTCTTTCACCCACCCCTGGTTATGCTACTGCTAATAGCAATAGTGGGTTGTCACTCCCTATGGGGACTGACACTAGAGGAGAAGAGCTTATACACTTTGCCAGGGATTTTTATAAGAGCAGGAAAAGTGAGATTTGGGAATCATGGGGACCGTGCTTGTTCCCACACAGGGCACTGGGGTGTGTGCTTGTTTAGGGAGCTAGCAGCTTGCTTGCAGGTGGCACAGGGGACTAGTGAGAGACTCACCTGACCAGAAGAGGGCTCAGGCTGGAGTTACGTAAGTTCAGAGCTTGAGGTGGTCAGGCAGTCTTTCCCTGGCAGCCACAAAGTCTTGAAGGGACGGAAGTTGATATAAACAACCTTACAGGCCTGGGAGCAGTGGCAAGTCTCCAGAGGAAGTTAGGGTTTTACAGGCAGGTGGCCTTTATTTTGAACCCACAGCGGGTCCTTGAGTCCAAATGCGGGGCAGCATGTAGGACCAGGGGTCTGGGAGCCCAGAGATGGGGTGGCATGTGGGACCAGGAGGGTCTGAAGATCCAAGTGGGGCTGAGTGTTTAAATAAACAACAGCAGAGAGAGAGAACACTTGTGAGGCTTGGTGTGGTGTAGGGGAGGTACAGAGCCATGCAATGAGCCCTGAAGGTGGCAGGTGCCCATCAGAGGTGCAGACAAACCATCCTACTAGCCTGAAGGCACAGGATGGTAACTGAGGGGACCTAAGAGGGGCCCAGTGGTGATCAGCACAGGATCAGGCTCACTCAGAGCCCTTAGGCAACCTTGCTTATATAACCTCCAATAAGAGCAAAGCATGGTGGGTGAGTGATCAAAGGAAAGGTTTGCAGCTGAGCTGGAGCCAGAGGGGGGCTGCCTGGACACCAGGGGGCATCACAGCCAGCCCGTGGCCATGGACTGGCTACATGCTACCTATCCTATACCCTTCATCCAGTGCTGTGTTTTTTATTCCCTTCACTCTTTGTCTGAGTCCCATACTCCTTGCCTGCCTGATTCTCAATCTCTACTCTTCCAACTTTTCATCCAAAGCCAGTCCAAGTTCCTCCCTTCCAGCTCCTTGTCTTAGAATCAAGTATCTTCCTTCTATGAGCTGCCTATGATCCAGCAGTGACTGTCACAGAGAACACAGGTAGGACCGGCTCTGCTCAATTTGAGTATGTGGCTCATCCAGGATCAGAGCAATCACCTGCAGCCATTATACAGAAAGCCCAGATTTGTTTCTGTTGCCTTAGCTAAAAGACATGATCGGTTACTCTGTGGAGATGGGTGATAGGCAGTCTAGTTCCCCACAGGTGCTATGGGATGGAACATGCTCGCTTGATCTCTGGGGATAGCACATGTGCAGTCCAGTCAACTCGAGGACCTGTGCTCAAGGTATGTCGAATTTTTGGAGATGTGAATTGTTAAACCCAAAGAAGTCTTTTGATTGTGAATGTACACATATTACAGTATTTCAAAGGCTTATAATTTGGCCAGTTTGGGTCTATTTACACAGAAATGGCATAAAGCATACTTTTGACAAGGCATGCACACACCTGTAGAATTAGACATCGCTGTTCAAAACAAGGTCACCAGAATTTTCCAACATTGAAAAATCAAGGTATTCTTTTCTAGCCTTATTGTCAGAAGTTACTGAACTATTTTGACTGAAATTTTCCAGAAAGAAAGGAAAGAAGCCCTACTATTAGAACTTAACACAGTTTAAAGCAACATGAAAGGTGATCTAATAAGGAGAGGTGTCAGGCAATGCTACCTATAATAATCAGTCTTTGGCCATTGTCAAAGACAGGATACTACACTTGCATCTGATCAAGTATGGCAATTTCTCTGTTTCCACAAATAAATATAACATACGATTTTGGAGGGTGTAGACAAAGTAAAATGAAAAATGTGATTTAACTTTTGGGAATACATATACAGTTTAAAATACACTTGAGAAATGTTATTTATTACAAAAAACGTTTTCACTTGCAGATAGTTAAAGAGTTTGAGAGAATTGATGTGAGAGTGTACTTTGCATCACATCAAGGTAAATGCATAAATTTATCTTTATGACTAGTTTGGACAATGTGCGGGATAAAATAAAATTGATAGTAGATCTGTAGATTGTGTCTCTGGAAGTATGATTTTAGTAAACAAAAAGGAAAAGCAAATCAATTAAAGACTATCTGGCTTGGCAGGCTTACAAAGAAGTATGGGGTGGGGGAGAGAGATAAGAAAACAAAAATAGAGAAACACTATTTCAATTTTTTCTCTACTGCTTACATTGTAACAAGCTCCAGTGATCTGCATAGCAGTTAGGTTTAAATGCCCAGGGCTGTGCATTTTGATATTTGTTAACCTCTGGTTTGATATTTCCTGTAAATAGTCTGAGTCTGTTTCACAATTTGTTTATTTAGACAGCATTATAACAAAGCTGGAACAATGTGCCTTCTTTGACGATAACATCAGAAAAGACATATTTTTCCTGACGGTCCATGACGCTGTGCTCCACATAAAGAGTCAAATTATGTATAAAGACATCCAGGATCCTATTTTTGAAAAGGTGAGGATCATAAATCACATATTTTATGATGTTTCTACTAGTTGCAAAACCTCCACTCCTCCAAAAAATTCCTGCCCAGGCATGTGCATTGAAGGTCTGGGTGGCCCTCATGCATATACCATGATCCAGGAGGATTGATGGCTGCCACTAGTTGCAAGAAGTTCTCGCTGTTTCTGTTGATGTGATACACGCTTAGGAAACAGCTGCAGAGTTGGTTTAGAAAACAGAAGGGGCACGTCCAGACGAGCCCACACGGACCCTTTGCAGCATCTCAAACCCCTTTGAGATGCTGCAAGAGGCACATGCAGGAACAAAAAAATCTTCCCCCTGCTGCAAATTTGCAGCAGGGGAGCAAAATTAGACCCCTGGATATCCAGGGTTCAAACAAACCCAGGGGGGAAAAATTGAGTTGCCTGAGGCAACCGGAGGCACTCTACCAGAGTACCTCTGGAGGACTGAGTCTCCGGTTGCCTCGGGGCACAGTGATTGGCCCTTTTCCCAGTCCTGAAGCACACTGCCTGCCCATGCTGGCAAGCAGGGGGTTGGGGAGCTGGAGGAGGGGACCTTCCCCAACTTCCTGTTCATTCCCCCCACTCCCGGTTAGTTCCCCTGCCCCCCCGTTTGTTCCCTTAGTTCCCTGCTGGCTCTCCCAGCCCCCATGCTCACCGGCAGTACCAGAGAATCAGCAGGAGGCTGGATACAGCCCCAGAGACATTCCCCTGCTGTCTCCAACCCCTTGCTCCTTCCCCTGCTTGTCTGCAGCCTCGGGAGAGCAGGGGACAGCAGGGGAATGTCTCCGGGGCTGTCTCCAGCCTTCTGCTCTCTCCCGAGGCTGGAGACAAGTAGGGGAAGGAGCAGGGGGCTGGAGACCAGCAAGAGGCTGGAGGCAAGCCCCTGGAGATAAGCTGGAGACTTCCCCTGCTCTCTCCAGCCTCCTGCTTGTTCTCTGCTACTGCCAGTGAGTGTGGGGGGCCTGAGAGCAAGCAGGGGGCAGGAGGAATGAATGGGGGCTGGGGGAATGAATGGGGAGCTGGGGGAACCAACGGGGGTGGGGGGAACGAGCCTCTTGTTCATTCTCCTATTCCCTCCAGTCTCCTGCTCATCTCCAGCCTCCAGAGGCTGGAGAAGAGCAGGGGAATGAGCAGGGGACTGGAGACCAGTGGGGGGCGGGGGAGGAGCTGTAGCCCCTGGGGGGGTGGGGCACTGGGACCCTGCAGGCAGGGTAGTCCATGTGCTGTGGGGGGAAGGGGGCTCTGCCCTGTGGGGGGATTGGCAATGCATAGGGGATACATGTGTACCCCCTGAGCATGGCGGTGCACCCCCTTAAAGCGCCACTGACACTGTCG